AGACGCGATATATCACCTAGTCTACATTGTCATTAATATCCTTACGGCAACGTGGTGTTCCAAGCCACCAGGTATCTCAACTCCACGCGGGTTTGACAGCTGATTCATATTCGTTCTTTGCATATTCTAGCATTCCAATCGCTTGTTCTTCTTTTTACAGGAGTTTGTTACGCGTCCTGCCTGCACTCGCAGATATACTCTACCAAGCAGTCTACTATCCATTATAAACAACATATAACCCCCTATTTTATCTTTCCCATGGTTTATGTCTACCTATCTTCTCTAGCAACCTATCACACGGAGCATATGCCTCACTGAAGCCTATCGATGGACGAGAAAAGTAGGAGTAGATGTGTAATTTATCCCCAAGCTACCCCCGAAGTCGCTGGATCTCAAGTCATTTTCGCTTTGCTTACTTCCCTCCAGCAAAGCTCGTTGATAAACGTCGCACACGTACTAATCACAAACATGAGATTTGTACAGAATCATGTTAATATCAACTGCATGGATCCACGGGATAACTCTGAATATGCAACGCAAGTGTCATCAGATTCTTGCGCCGATAACCCGTTTCCCGTCGCCGCCAACGTTACCCCGTAGCTGGCTTGACCAGTAGGTACCAGCAGCAGATTCTACCTACCTACAGTTTCCCACCTGTGCTCTAGCTTCTACATTAAGATGGTTCGGTTACAACTTCGATAGCAACTCAGCCGGCCTGGGAAATACTAGTGCGCCCATAGCGAGCGTAGCTATCCGTTCCTAGGTACCTCATCTCCGTGTGTGCCTCGATCCTGCAGCAATGCGTGTGCTCCGACTTGGACGAAATTTACGCCCGTAAAACAGATGTGCATGACCTGCTGTGTAACGAAAAGGTGAGCTTATGCTTTGTTTCTGGTCGTCTTGTGAAGCCTAACAACTTGCTTCTCGGTATGCTTCACATCGAACAACGTCGTAAAATAATAGTATAAATTATATATTGGGTAGGGCGACTTGTTTGATGTGTTTAACAGCATGTTAAATTATCTACCAAAGGCTCGAGAGGCTCAAGCTTGCGAAGACAGCTCGTTAGTATATATCGGCTACCAATCGGCGACCTAACACTTAAGGGGCTTCGTTCCAGCTTAAGACTTGATCTTTAGATTCCACATGAAGGCTTATTGCGGTACTCTCGCGAACGAAAATAACTGGATATAGTTGGGATTAGTTCAGTATGTGCCCGGGGCGTAATGCATTCAGCCGGCCAGAAAAGTCTGCCATAATCAAAAGCTATTCCGACTTCGCCCAGGGCCTAGGAGGCTCGTTTTCCGGGCGCTGGATGGCACTGTCTAATTGCCGCTGTATTAAGACCTGTGTTGCCTCCCTAGCTCTTTCAGAACCGGGCAGGAGGGAAGTAAGGTGACTGGCCAGGTCTCCCCAGTTCCAAGTAGCCGTCTAGCAAGGGTTTAAGGGAGATGTGTGATCTGATAATACTCTACGTGGAACTGTTACCGGACTCCTGGGACCCAATATCCTGTAACAGCTCGTCGATTTCTATTACATGCAGCCTCCCGCAGCTCCACTGGTCTTATGATACGGTAAAGCCCTAGAAAGTCGATCAGTTGGTTCCTAGTAATTTATAAGCATGGTCTGTTTATGTAGCGGTAACTTTCGTTTGCCATGTAATTCTACGAGGGGATGTCATTCTGGTAAAGGAGAGAATGAAAGGCTCTCCCAGATCTATACCTACCTAAATTAAGTTGTCGTGCCGACGAACGGAGCCATGGAAGCTTACCCGTCTCCCAAAGGTTGGGGCAAGTTATTCTGTATCTTTGGGATATATGATGAGTTACCTATCTCAGTTTCCCGTGAACGAGCCGCACGTGGGTTTTGTGTTTACCATAGTTGTTTACCATAGTCATCTTGGGCGCGGGTTAGATATGTGCTGTTTGCCAAAATAGCATATCTTCCTTACTCGTTCCGAGAAGATGAGGGTTTCATTCGGGTTTTGGGCTGAGTCCGGACGCACAGTCGTATCAGCCTGGTCAGCCACAAGAAATGCATTCCAGGGCTCGTGCGTAAAAGATGAATGGATGGGTATAGACTAATGGTTGCGAGATGCTTGTCCATCGTATGTTTACTATATCTGTAAGCACCCGTCTTCTGGAGTTCTGGTACCCAAACCAGTACTGAGTGTACTTCCTGTCCATGAGATCATGAACGAGGAATACCTATTGCTGCTGCTACTGCTTAGGTACTGCTATTGCTATTAGGTACTACTAGATTTACAAAGGTAGGTACTTCTAGACTGGGTATGTGGTCATCGTATTTGATATTTCTATAACGTGTAATTTTACTTTGTATGCGTCGTCTTAGTTTGGAAAGGCTGGGAATATAGTAAGCGGGTTAAAGAGAAGGCGAGTCCAGAACAGGAATGTCGGGGAATGACCCAGGAATCAGGACAACGCTATCTGAATCTTAACTCTTCTCTGGCCATATCTACGATTCTACGGCTGTATACTATTAAGCGAGATAGCTGCAGGTGGCCCCCAACGTATAAAGATCTTACAGGGAAACCCCAAGCAGATTCTGAAAATTAGTTCGCTTAGGAACCTCTCGGTGGGCATTTCTTTTCTTCTTCCGCTCGTTCTGACCATAGATAGCGTTAGATGCTCGCCGAATTTACGTGGACATGAATCCATCCATCAGGACTTAATCACCGCTCTTTTAATACTAGACTTTGGATCCTTAGAGAAGTATTGGCTACATTCTTTTGCTGGTGGCTTTGATCGTCATGCCGTCCGGAACACCATCAACCACCAGATAGGACTGACCGCCTCTTTTCTCTTTTCATACTGTGAATGCGCTATACCCGGAAAAGTTCAGGATCTTACATCGTTCTAGACCAATCTCAACTGACATGCCGGAACGAAAACGCTTGCATTCCGCGCCAGGTACAGGTGTATATTTCCATTCTTGAGCTTCGAGGTTATTGTATTACAGTTGCAATAGACAGGATTCATATAAGAAAACAGACCGTGGATATGGCATACACGTAGCAGTCCCCTAGTAAAATGCTTATTCACTACGTCTGTGACCGAGATTCGGGCCATCACTTTCTGACCTACCGAATATCGGCTCACTCCAGCTGGACATTGGCCATAGAATCCCGAAGCTTTAGCTACCTAGGTACCTAGGTAGGTATCTATAAAACTAACCTACATGTTATTGTGATTCCGTCATTGGCTTTCTGCATAGGGCTTTGGCGCCCTATCCTTGCTTAGCGAGATGCCTTCGCCTTCGGTGGCTGCATGTCTAAAGACGCATATTTCTTATTCTGGTGATGCCATTGTAATGGCGGCAGAACGTCTATAATCAATGCATAACTAGATGCTTGAATTCGCGTAAGCCTTCACCCAGAGGCGAAAATAAACAGGGATAGCGGATTGAGCTAAGATCACGATCCCGATAGAATAGAAGACCTATCTGCCTCCTACGTACCTAAACTTATATAACTTCTATTTGTAAGCTTTACTCACCACTGACTAATTTGGACGCTCTTCTTTTCTTCCTGAGATGGAGGCGTTTGTGTTGGACAGTTACCTAACTCAACATTGCTGTTGTATTCGTTCACGCCAAGAGACTTGTATGTCCGGTAGGTATATTGAAGTACGGCACATCACTAGCACTGTGGGACGTCTAAAATGCCTCCTGTGAGGTGACAGACCTGGGGTCCCGTCTGGCATGAGACCATCTGCTTCTCGGCCATGAGCAGGACTCGGACTTATTTGTGGTATATCTGATGGCCTCACAACAGAATATGCAGAAAGAGCAGGGCGTTGGCGATAAGAATGTGCCAGGCTATTTAATATATGCCTCGTACGATCTTGTGAGAGTTCGGAAAGATGGCTATTGAACCGCTACACTTCCAAAATGTAGAACGATGTTAACTTGAGGTTTGGCGTTGCTATCTCCCCCTATAAGGACCACTCGGATAGTATCGTGATAAATCTAAAGCCTCCTAGTTCTACGTGTATTATTATAGGAATAAGGTGAGCACCATGAATGGTTATTAAGGGCTCATACAACATGTGAATCCCGAGAACAGAGCAGACAGCCGATATTCCCATTCGTCTCGTCCTAGTTGCGAACCTATAAGTTTGATATAGAGCAGCCTTTATCCAGATCTATAGTGGTTATAACAATTCTCACATCTCAGTAGTCGTCGCAAGGGTCTAAACCATCTTATGAAATCCGAGATCACCGTCAGGCTGCCCCAGTTCGGTGGCTGACGCTGTTACTGATATAACGTTGTGCTTGGATGTGACTCCTGATTCATATTCACACCACTGTAACTGGCTACACCGACGATAGAAAGGCACTTGGCTTCCGAATGATTGGCTAGTAAATAAGCCAGAAGCCATAATCATATGGATGCTCAATGCAAAGCATTCCTCCTTGCTTCATGGGTGATAGGTTAAGCGAAAGCTTATGATAGATAGCGACGTGAACTAATTTTTAGGATCTTTGGAGCATCTTCGATATAAATTTGCATAAACTGCTTCCCTCACGGTCAACATCTTGGCTGCGTCTTCAACTACATTAGACCCTAAAGATGACTGATGTAAACTAGTAGGTTCGCGTGGTGTAGAGATATGAACAACTGAGAATGACCTCGGATCCGCCACTTCGATATAGGTATGAGGAAAGGGGTCGACAGTGAGATCGGCATGGAAAAGCAATAGAACCACGTATGAGGGACGCATATATTGTTCGGGGAGTCGCCTTGAGGTAGCGACTAGAGCTCATTCAGTGAATTGAGCATTTGGTTATTTATTTTATCATCCGCTTTTCTAGGTGTAGTTGAGATTTGACCCTAAATAAAGGATAAATATATCAGAAAAGGGGCAATCTAAATCGAGTTGTATATACCTCCGTGTTGATATGATACCGCTGCTGAACCCGTGAAGCCACTTATAGAAAACACCCAAGAAGGCGCTTCAACGTTTCCATTTTTGTCCGCCTCACGCAACGACGCTGAAACCAAAAGAGCCATCGAACACGTCGATATCTTCTGGCTCTCTCCCACCTCGCATGGCCTTAAGCATGTCCAACTCGGGAACATCGTTTGGATGGTAAAATTTTAGAAGGTTATCTATGTCCTCGTCGGTGAGCGCGCACATTTCATTCCAGCTGTAAGCATCGCTGACTCTCGTCATCCAACGCATCCTCTTAGGACCCTCATCGGGGTTTGGGGCTATCTCGCGTAGCCTCGTACGTAGTTGGCCTATTCTCTCGATAGCATCGCCGATATTCGTGGGTAATTGACTCCCAATCCACTTCCTGATACTGGAAGCAAGTCTCGGCCCCTTTCCGTTGGTGCTAACCATGATCTGCAGCGGCCCGTCGCGATGTACGCTTCCAAAATAGAAGTCACATTCGGGCGGGACGTCGGCAATGTTAGCCGGAATGCGATGCTCTTTGCATAGCTTCCAGATCTGGGTTGAAGCAGCAGGGTCGTCGATGGCGACGAGCACCATGTCGGGAGGACCATTATGCGGGGGTAACGTCTCTAGATCTGAAGGCTGGAATACGCGATCGACGTGAGTTACTTGGTTGTTGGCGATACGATGGCGTACTTCGGGATTGAGACCGGAAGAAGGGCTCACGACGGTGACGTTGGCGTCAGCGTTGAGGACATTGAGGATACGACCAGCGGCGACCTAGATTAAAGCAATGTTTATGTTAGTTGGAACGAATATCTTGTTAGACAGTCTTGAATTTGTATGAAATTCTTCATGTTTGTTTTCCTTACCTCGCCGCCTCCGACCACGAGGACATGTTTGTTCTTAACTTGCCAGGCTAGAATCAAACTACCACCGCCTTGGACTGGAGGGAAGTCATCCTTAGTATCACTCGTCATTCTATCATTCAGCTGGCTTTGAGTTTCGGTCAAGATTACTGCATGATCGTCACGTATAATATAAACTCGTCGAAGCTCCAAGAGAAAATTGATTGATAATGGCCTGAGATACAATATATAAAAAAGGAGAGGAAATATGTTGTTGCACTGAGTTTTAAAGCATGTTTATTTTGATTTATTTTGACTATTTACCTAACCTTAGGTAGAGGTACCTAATAATAGTAAGAATTTCTCCGAGGGGTTGAATCGGAGAAGTGAACGAACGAATAATGAGTTTTAAGTGTTCTGATACGCTGCGATTAAAAAAAAGTGATGACGGAAGAGGATAAGGATCCATTTATACTAGACCTTAAGTATCGTACCTGCAATGTATTGTACTTACAGGCAGGTACCTAGCATGGAAATGACCTCAATTCAAATCATTTTAAGTAAGCTGTACCAACCAAGTACATGTACAGTACTAAAAATACGTCATATCGGTATCTAGTGCTACCTTAGGTAGGTGCCTTGGATACCTAGATACCAAGCGTTAGCGTTGGTACGCACGCTAGGTAGGTACCTAATCATTAAACATTGCGCTTGTACCACATCCCTAAGGAGTGAGTACCTTGGCGTTACCTACCTAGAGGTACTTTTGCATCCTCCTTCCGCCTTGCGCCGCAACTTTCCAACCTTTCCAACTACCAACTACCAACATTATAACCACGAGACACGTATCGAACGTGCGAACCGCGAGCCGAAAATTAGGAACCTTTGTAGCTAAACCTAGCCGGTAGCTTGGGATGATTATTTATTTCCGATATCTACAGCTCGGCATATTCTTGACCTTCTCCTCTCTTACAAGTTCTACAAGTGGTTACTTGAATCGACGGTCCTCATGGCTTTGAAAATACGGGAGTTCTAGAAGAAACCCAATATGTCTGGTCGAAGGCTTGGTGGAGGGAGGATACTTGGTAGCGGAAAAGGATTGGCCCCTCCAGCGCCTCCTGCTATACAGAGGGAGAGAGCTGCTAGCCCCTCTGCTCCGTCCGACAGCACCTTATCCTTCGGCTCTCCCGCTACGTCCATTTCCCCCGGAACGCCGAGCCCCCTAGCCAGCTTTGCGCAGGATGTCACATCCAACATAAGCCTAGGAGGGCCAAGTACCGGCGGCCAGTCGGGCTCCAGGCTCGTATGCCCCATATGCGAGGAGGAGATGTTAACCCTTTTGCAATTAAACCGTCATATCGATGATGTCCATCAGGAGCTACCTGAATTCGAACAGGACGAAGTCAAGTCCTGGATAGACAAGCAGGTCCTCAAAGCCAAGAAATTCCAGCCCCTTTCTCTTATTAACCAGAAGCTTCGCGGTCTTGAAGTCTTCGAGTCCAACGAATCGCTTCCGCCCCCTGCGCCTGTCGCTAGCAGGGCAAGCAAGGGCCCCATTTCCGATTCGCCGCTAGATCCCGACGATATAATCACAAAAGCTCACTGGCAGAGACAGGGCTTAAACGATCTATGTACCGATCCGGCTTGTGGGAAGAGATTAGGAGCCGTCAATGGCAGCATAAACTGCAGGCAATGCGGGAGACTATTCTGCGAGGAGCATACCATGTATCAGATGAAATTGTCAAGGTCAGCCTCGCACGAGCCTGTGAGGGGTTACTGGTATAGAGTATGTGAAACGTGCTACAAGTCGAGAGAAGGATATAACGATCACAACGGGCTGATAAGGGATCACACGCAAGAATTTGCAGCGATACGGAGGAAGAAAGTCGACAGGCAAACCTTAGAGATATCGCGACTAGAGAAAAGGCTTACCAAGCTGACCCAATTGCTTGCTCAGCTACCTGAAGAGGCAGGGTTAAGTAGTAGCGGTGCCGGTTTGCTATCTCCTCTAGCTGCTCAGAGGAATCAACGGAAAGCGATCGAACAGTCGATCGTGACGTGGGAAGAGGACGGGAAGGTTCCAAAATGCCGATTCTGCAAGCAGGAGTTTACTTGGACGTTCAGAAGGCATCATTGCCGAATATGTGGCCTGGTAGTGTGCGCAGATCCCCAAACCGATTGTTCATCCGAGGTCGGCCTGAACGTCGCAAACTCGTCTCTTTCTTCATCAGAAAAACCGGGAGGAGGACGCTCCATAAGTATTGATATCCGCATGTGTCGTGATTGCAAGTCTACAATATTTTCGAAGCGGGACTTTATTGAATCTGTTGTGCACAAACCGCCCGACCAACGGGCGTACGAGACCCTGAAACAGTTTGAGAGAGGTATTCAGCTCATTCTACCTACTTTCCAGAGGACTCTTCTGCCGCTGCAGGATGAGAATAATCCGCCGACTCATGCGCAGATCCAAGAGGCGTCCAAAATTAGGAAGCGACTTACCGACAGCTTCACTAAATACGACGTGGCAGCTCGGCGGATCCGTGATATGAAAACCGACAGCCCGACGCAGCGACAGTTGCAAAAGGCTATACACCAAGCTGCGTCAGCATTCTTGCACATGCATATGCTGTCGCTTAAGAATGTGCCGCGGATGCTAAAACATAACAGCTCCAGCTCTAGCTCCGGTAAGGGCCGTCTGGTTCCTAATGGCCATGTAGCCAGCCCGCTACGTAACGGTATCGATAGGCTCGAGACGGCCAGCCAGACTAGCGAAGCTAGCACGGCGGTGTCCGCGCTGGAAACGGAGGAAAAGGAGCTGCGCGAGCGGTTAATCGTTCTAGAAGAACAGAGGTACATGGTGCAAACCATGATCAGCGGGGCGCAGGGCGCGAGGCGGTTCGAGGAAGTAAGCGCCCTGACGCGGAACGTGGAAGAACTAGAGACGGAGATCGAGAGCGTCAAGAGCAAAGTCGCGGCTGTTGAGGAGAGGTGGCAGGATGTCTACGCGAACGGCGGACCCGGGTCGGTCTTGTAAAGTGTTTTGTAAAGTGTCTTGTACTCGAATTGATGGTGATAGAGGTGCCTATCAAGGAAGGAGTTCGTTGAGGAGCGGGAGATATCCATCTCACGTGTCCTAGGAAACCCTACCTAAACACGGGATTGACTGTGAGAACTTGCTTTTCTGGTGAAGACTTGGCTTCCTTTCTGGACGGACTTGAATTACTGCATAGCATTGGCATGGCGTTGGTTGGATAGGAGCTGCCTAGTATTTGTATCTACGGGGGTGCTGTTGTTTTTTTACACAGGATTGGAATATAAGCAAAACGTTGTAAATGTATTATTCTATAGGGTCTTTATTTTATCAGATCAGCCCTACGCATTATTATTCTACTTCATATCAATTAAATGTACCTAGCCAACTAAGCTAGGATTCGCTATCAAATACATAAATGGCCCTGATTTACTGCCTGGTGGTTTAGTGTTCAAGGTATTGTGAAATGAATAGCCTTACCGTTTAATCTATCCATACCGCAACACGTTACGAAGCGAATACGCCTTTAAGACGGTCGATTAGCAGGCCGCTTTGGCGACTGCAACATCGCGGACCGCAGATATCGGACCCTGATGTCATTAGTCTCGGGCCACACCTTGGTGAGTTTGTAGTCAGCAAGCAGGTCCGTCGAACTCCACGGGAGAGCAACGTAGCGGTCTCCGTGCCGGTCCCAAAACACCTCGTCCCAAGGGGTAAGTTCCTCAACTCGACGTTGACCCAGCTCCTGTTTTGAAGCGTCAAACATGACCAGAGGCACCTGATGAAGCATCTCCCACGGCTTCATATTCCGATTCTGAGAAAACGATAACATATCCCGGAGTACTTCGTCGGCAACTTGGAGAGCGATCCGGCCGCCGCGAGCCATCTCGATGCACATCCTTGACCGTCTGATAGCAGCTGGCAGGAGAGGAGTCAGCTGAGGGTCGTAAGTCCATCCCAAATCATCCTCGTCGTCGTCTGATACCCTGCTATAATAAGGAAACGTTTCACCGACAAACCCCCCTCCGTTCGCCACAGGAGTCTCCTCAAATGGGAGGTTGAAGCTACAATTTTCGATAGAGAGACAAAGCACGTCATCGACGTGGACGCGGACAGTCCGGCGCTCCAACGGTTCTGGATGATCGTCCTGTTGCTCTTTCTCCTCGGACTGATCAGGCTCCTCGCCTGTGAAATTTGAGCGTCGACGTACGGGGGTTAGCTCCCGCAGCTGGCCATCTGCCGCTCTCACAAATAAACCACGCCGAGGACGAGTTAGCGTGATAGCTGCGGCCTCGGCTGGAGAGAGAGAGCACACGTCGCGGGCTTCTCGACATACGCGGCATAAAATCTCTCTGGCCTGCCACGCCGAAGGATCGTACTCGGAGACCGTCTCGTCGTCATCATCGATGGATAAGCGCCGCAGGTCCAAATACAACCACGAAGGAGAGGTGCTCCGGTTGGTACCGGGATGGTCGTTTGGTATGCAATGAACGTTGAAGAAGTTGATGCCAGGTACGGGGAGGGCCATGCGCCATATCTGATGCCGCAGCTCAGGTGGGAGCTCAGTGAACTTGGTGAAGAGAGAGGGGGCAACAAGTGGTTCCGGAGATTGAGATTGAGACTCTGACGAACTCATTGATGATGAAGCGAGTTGATCGTATAGGTGTCTGCCCTCGACCGGCGCCATTGGTTTTTAAGAGTGTGATATTGTTTTTAACCTGGTTGGGTCTATATTATTGTTATTCTCAAGTCGAGTGTATCGTTTCCATAAAATCAGCGATTGCGCATTTGTGTGTAATTTGAAAAGCTCTCTATTTTTAGATGTTGAAGTTCCGTAAATAAAATTGGATCATGTCGAAGTTGAAAGATGACGAAAGGGGGGAGGAATACCTAAGGTAGGTACGTAGGTTAGGTACCTACGTAGCTCTGCGTGTACTGGCAAGTACCTAGAAGCATCCCTGGAATCGAATCCCTGCCGCAACATCAAAATTCGATATCGAACAACATTGAATTCGAACATCAACTCACGTTTATTTATCTACGCGCCATAAAGTCAATTGCTCGTAATAATATACCTCCCTACGCGCCAATTCGTCCGATAATTCTAACCTACTCGCGATATCTAAATATCAGCAATTTCTAACTCCGCTCAGACGCGACAATCACCTCGGCTTCGCATCGCTTCTTATCGAAATCGCATCGTCGCCCGCTCAGTCTCATTTATACCATTTAAGGGTCCATACCGGGCAGGTAAGGTACCTATAAAACGGGAAATACGCATTCGATGCCTCCCCGAAAACGAAAGCACCAAGAAGCAGCAGAGCCCGTTGCAGAGCCCGTCCCGTCTTCGCCAACCTCAGAACGCTCCCCTCCGGGATCCGATGCTTCGCCCACTTCACCCGTATCACAACCAATTACCGACTTGTCCCGCAACGATTCGGAGCCGCCGCGCTTCTTCAACACCACCTTCACCACGTATCGCGTTTCGCCTCTCTATGTAGGTAAACAACCGCTGGATCCCGCGCGTCTACAGCTCCTATCAAAGCGCTTGCGAGACGCTCTCGTCGGTGACGTGGTGCGCGGCGTACAAGTCGGGCTGGACAGCGATACGACGTTAGGGCGCACAGGCGCCTTACACGCCGTAGGGTGGTACTGGGTCGACGCCGAAAAGTTTCTCGGGGGCGCTGATCGGCGCGACGGCAGCATAGAGCTGGGAAATGACGCCGACGAGCGGGCGCAAGGGGGGAAGCAACGGGTTATGTGCATAGATCTGAGATACGAGAACGCCCGGTTTAGCGCCTTGCTCTTGCCCTACCTCTCTGAGGACGAAGATGCATCAACCTCAAGTCTCCAGCCGTCTTGGACCTGGCAAGAGGATGGTAGCAATAACAATTCTCGGCCGAAAGAGGAGGATCGAGCTGCGTTCTTACATTTCCCGTTGCTCCTGTTCAGGATGCCCGCGCCGCTCAAATCCGTACTTATCAATTTCCTATCTAGCACCTTTGACTGTCGCATAAGCCCGCTGGCGCTAGGTACGCAGACGCTCGTAAGTAGCTGGGAAGCCTGGTTGTCCGACAGACATTCCAGGCGGGACGGGCGCGCGTTGACTAAGGACGTTTTGATAACGCTCGGCTTTCATATCGAGCCAGGGGAGTCGACAACGAAAGGTAGTGGGAACGAGCTTGGCGATGCCGACGAGCAGGAACAAGGCCAGAAACCAGACCAGCCTCGTTCGGGCATAAAAACCATCGTCGTGACTATCCCCGCTGCAGATGCGTACCGCTTCCTCCTCGCGGGCGAGAAGCTCGACGATGAGCGCACGGCCTCGAGGAAGAGGAAAGCGGACGCAAGAACTACGTTGTCAGACGAACAGAAAAATAGGCGGCGCCGGAAATTAGCGGGTGGCAAAGACGAAGAGGGCTGGGCATGGCGCAAGGAATATCACAACGCTACTGCCACGGGGGGAGAAACAGGAGAGAGCGTTATCGAGCAGCCCTTCACAGAAGCCTTAGCGGCGTACATGTGGCACCATTTCGGCCTAGACATCTTCCACCCGGGCGTCCGCGTGCAGCGAATCGGCTGCGACGGATTTGCGCTGTCCGAAGGGAGACTGAAAGTATTTGCCCCGGCTCGCGGGATCAGCAGTGATGGTGAAGAGCAAGAATCCCCTGCGTGGAAGCTGGTGCGAGGATTAGTACGAAGAGCGCGGGGGACGCCGAGCTGGGCTTCTGGAGCAGGAGCAAAGATATTAGTGCAGCGGTAAGCCGTAAATATATACCTAAGGGACACGGGATGTGCTACGAAGTCTGGTTTTGTGACCTGACATATCAATGATACCCAGTTAGCCTGAAAAATACTCAGGGAGAGGGGATTTTCATGAGGCCGTGGACGGACAACGATACCCCTTAGATGCAGTATAAGTGAAGAAGAGTCGAAGCAAGTCAAATAAATATTAATTCATTTTCATTTTGATTTTCAATGATCGGGTATCTCCCTGCCTATTAAATTCATCGTGCCATATATCTCCACCTCGATATCGAAAGAATTCCTATTATAAGAGCTCAAGCAGATCTCGAGCTAACGGTGAATGGCCAGCCCGGTATCAAATCAAAGCATCGGATTGGAAACCTGATCATATCGTGTTCGAGCTTGATATTTCAACTCCCGGCAATGCTTTACACGTATATACAGCCGGCCACAGGTTGATGCCGGAAGTGAAAGACATGGGCCAAATCTCCCTAAACCTGCCAAAGGCTGCCGTCGATATGGCCAGCGCGTGGTCTTGGTATTGATCAAAGACGCACAGAATCCAACAATACCCATACGTCATACAAAGACCCGATTGTAAAACTCCTTACGCCAAAAGCTGCTACCAAATATCAACCCTTCAATGCACGCCGTCAACACCGCCGAGGAATCTTCGTATACGGCCGATCTCAAGTTCGCCCTTTTCGCTCTCCACGGCTCGTAATAAACCGTCTACGACGGCGTCGACTTCGCTTTCCGACACTCCGGTACACAGCGCTACTACACGCCGGTATTTAACCTCAACATCCTTGCTGCGGCCTTTAAGCGATCCTATACTTTTCGTCATGGCGTCTTTCCTATTCCTGAGTGCTTGTATGCGCGCACGAAGGACCACAGATGTAGGTAACAGGGCTGGATTCGGCGAGTCTCCGCCCGCAGCCTCCAAAGCCGCGTTGAGTTCCGCCTCCCATGAGTTATTCATATCTATGCGGCCATAGCTTTGCTCCAGTCGCATCAAGTGCTTCTGCTCCTCGTCGCGACCGCGGCTAAGGTTGGTTATCTTCTGGCGCGCAAGGGATTGCGATTTAGCAGCTGCCTGTAAGGTCTCAAGCTGGCGTCGCGCATCTCCCAACTGAGTAGAGGTTGTCCGCAGAGAGACATGGAGTGCATCGACATCTTGCTGCTTCTTCTTAAGTTCCGATTGGAAGCTATTTGAAGTTTCATTCAAGAGGTGTGTGATCGCTAAGATAGGTTAGAATTAGCATATAAAAAAAGGGGGGGGCTTCTGTAGACTCACAGGTAATAATCTCGGCGCTGCTCTCCCGGGTCTTCTGGCAGTTGCCGGCGATATTCGCCTTGTCACTCGCTACAAGATCACCGTTGGCACCGTCTTCCCCGGCTTCGCCGCCCACTCCGAAATCGACGGGTCTGAGGCCTGCTTTGTTGGCAATACCGGGATCCGCACCCACTTCAAGCAGCTGAGAGATAATGCTCCTGTTCCCGATTCGCGCCGCGATATTTAGCGCGGTATCACCGGACTTATCTTGCGCATTTACGATTTCGCTCATAAATCGGCCGATACCCATTTTGGGTTGGCTAGAGTTGCCGTTTGTCGTTGTTTGGTTACTCGGCGCGCTTCCTTGTCTCACAACCCACTCCAAAAGACTCTCCAGATAATACCTGCTGGAATGGCTCCTACCCTTCACAGCACTCGTAACAGCAATGTGGTGTAAGACGGTTCGGCCCTTGTTATCCCGAACATCGATAGTATTGCCTAAGACGTCCAGTAATTCGGGGAATGAAACTTGATCCGAGTTGTTCGTCACGGCCGACGCTCTCATCAAAGCCGTTTCTCCTGAAGCGTTGACTCGATAAGGATTCGCACCAGCCGATATTAACGCACGAAGAAGAGGTATCCGAGCTAGCGTAGCAGCCCAGTGAAGGGCGGTATGGCTCGATGAGTCTATCGGTGCGTCGAGATCTAAAGGTGACAAGGTCTGGAGAGCTTCATTCTGGGAATAATCTGAGGCGTTCGCATTGGGATCTAGGAACAACCCCATGAGTAAGTTGCGCTTCTGATCCGCCTCCGGAGAGAGCTCGAACGGTAAGGGAGGAAGTGGCATGACATCGTTCTCCTGCACGTCGAGGGCGGCTTGAGAGTATTGAAAGGATTCGTTGGGCTCCGTGGGCGAACCGGGGAAGTTATTGGCATACATATCAATAGAATGAGAAGCGTAGCCGAAACTGTCTGCGGGAGTGACGACCTTTAGACGTTTTCGCGACGGCTCGTCACCGTTAAAAATCTGCGTATTCTGGGTCGAATATGCCGAATCAACAGTTTGGCCGTAGTCAGAGGCAAAGCTCTGCTGAGAATTCCCCGGGAAATCGTCAACGTTCTGCATTGAAGACTGCCGGCTGAAACTAGGCGGTCTCGTCGGACCATTGCGACCCCTCGGTCCAGGAGAATCAAAACGAGCCTTGCTAATAGCAGCGACAGCGTTAGATGCCGTACTCGATATGTTCTTGAAAAAGGTCCCGGATAGCCCATTGGCGCGGCCGTCATTTCCAGCGCTGTACATGCGCTTTCTTTGCGCAGCCATCGCCTGCTCCTTGGTCGGAGTGTTGATATCCCCTCTACCTGCGACGCCACCGTCCTGGCCCATGTCGTAAATCAGGAGAGGGCGAAGTAAATCTTCGACGCCATATTGACGACATACCTCGACACCCCTTTCGAATTTAATCCAGGTGCCTTGGTATTTTCCATAACCACCCTGTACCTTTTCGTGTTCGCCAGTTTGTATCTCCTTTTCGAGGATTTTCGTTCGCTTCCCCTTATCGATGTTGGCGACTTTGAGGATTTGCGTAGCATTTAACCAACTATCCGCGCGGCGGCGCATAACGGCGACGCCATTAACTTCCATCTCGTACACGTCAGTTCCAGAATAGACAGCCTATTTAGGTAGCAGTTAGTAGGTGAAGCTTGGTAGATTTAAGCTGATATTGTTATTGCCCAAAAAAGGGGCGTGCGGGAGTAGAACAGAAGGCGACTGACGGAATATATTTGCGGTGTATTGTGATCGTGGCCATGGCCATTTCCCAATCTCATATTTGAATCGGAAAAGGGTCTATACTGTTGAGCAGGCTGGCTCATGGTAAAAGACTGCTGGGATGAAGGTTGCGATTGCGACATTTTGACGCTGTCTATAGCAGCGCCTATGCCGCCGCTTCTCTCAGTAGAGGCTGGGAATTGCGACGACGACAATGACGACAACAGAATAGAGGATTGTGATTGTGATTGTGATTGTGATTGGTGTTGGGAGCTCGGCCGTGTTTGAAGGGGGCTCTTAGCTGGTTCGGTAGTAGTAATAGTGGTAGTAATAGTAGCAGTAGTAGTAGTAGTAGTATGCGGGATGTCGAGCTGTTGATAATGATGCGAGATAGCGGTTGTTACCGAGGCCATCAGTAGTAAAGAGTTACTTTGTATGTAGCAGCAAGCAAAAATAGGAATATGCAGTAGCGGGTCGAGGTGGATTCGCAGTCGTGCAAGGAATCGGGGGACTCGGGGAACTCGTCAATAAGATTAAAGGCAGAAAAAATTAAATCTGCGATAATGTGGAGCGTTGATGGGGAGGGGACAATGCGCCGGTAGCGTTAAGGATAGCATTCGCTCCGCTCTGGTTAGGTAGTTTTCCAAGGTTGTTGCTATCGAATTTTACGTAGGTATTTTATGTAGGTACGTATAAATGTATAATACCTAACCTGATGAGGTACCTAAGGTAGGTAGCCTTTCCCACAGAATTGGGAGGGTCGAATTGATGTTGACGTTGCCAATAAGGAGGGAGGAACCCTAACTTAGGTATCGACTAGTCTGGTAATGATGCTGGGGTACCTAACTATGACAAACTTACGATAGGGTTTTGAGGCGGTGATAGATGAATGTGGTAACTGTAAGGGTTGTAAGTAATAGGTAATAGGTAATAATAGAAATTATTCCAACCTCGGACCAAGTCGGTGTAAGGATGAAAAAAAAGAGGATGATATATAATTTTTTAATAATGTGACGGTATACGATGCGAAAGACACCGGGGGTGGTTCAAGATCAATTAGATCAGATCGACGCGCTTTTTCTCTCTCATTCACTTCCCGTTGGATAAAAAAAACCCTTAGGTTAGACCGTAGGGTTACTCTCGCGACTATTTTATTAATTCCCGTTCCCAAGCCCCCGAGGGTTCCAAAACTGGAAATCAATTAAAACGTAGGGATTAGGAATAGTGCATTGCCGCGCGAGAAAAAAAGGGCGACCGTAAAGGGACGTGTCAGTTTCGTGTAAACGTGAAGTCGTGACTCGTGCCAGAGTAAGAATTTTGGGGGTGGAAGACGTAATTAAAAAATAAAATAAAATAAAATAAACCGGCACGTAGGCGAGACACGCGTGCGTGTGTCCCATTAAAATTGTTCGAATTAAGGGAACGGTGATGCACAGACCGCCTCTTCAAAAGAATTAAAGTGAGGGGTGAGCTGCTAAGGTAAGCTGACCAACCTAGCGAATTGGTCTGGCGGTAGGTACACAGAAGGTGGGGTATCTTAAAGGGAATCTAGCACGGATTTCGTACAGCATCATGTACCTCTAATGTACGGCCTAATACCTTAGGTAAAAGGTTGTACCAATGTAATTGTACCAGGAGCCCAGGTGCTTAGGTATTCATACACGTACCTAATCCCTCGCCTTATCATACCTATCCTCCTGCATGTATTTAGGTACCTACCTTAAATATTTCCATCCACCTCTTCAACTTTTTTTTCGCGATGCCTTTACAGATCCCCCACCCAAACACTCCTTTACATCTATATCGACATCTACTTCGAGAAGCTACATACCTTCCTCTACTCTGTCGACCTTGGATAACCGAGCGCATTCAAGCGCGCTTTCGCGATTGTAATGAAAAGCCGGATCCCAAACCGTATATCAAAGATGCTCACCACTACCTTCGATACCTCCGTTCCGCAAACACGGGCCATGTCAGCCGGATGTTGCGCCTATGCCACCTAGCTACCGGTAGGATCGGCAAGCGACGCCGTATTTTAGGCAGGACTGAGCTGTCCAGTGCCCCTGCGAGCAACTCTGATAAGCTAGAAGAGAGGCTCGCTCTGGTCAAAGACAAGCAGCGAAAGCCTGACTGGTTAGACAATTGGGCCGTAGACAAAATCTTCGCCGTCGCCACCTCGCAAAACCAACTGCAAGGCAAAAACTTACCTTTTAACATGCGCCGAACGATCGACCCAAGCAAAACCATCCCGAAAGAGAACTGTTTCGGCCGCCCGCTTACGGAGAAGTTAAAAAGAAACAAATTAAAAAAACACTGGGTATCAACTCTCCGCCAGTTACTGCCCCCATTGCCCCGTGGGGAGTGGGAACAATTAGGTGCTATAGCAAGAGGTGAAGCCGACTCTCGGTATTATAAGATGCCCCCGAGAAGGAAGGTCGCACAATCGCTTTCGATAGATGATGCCGCCCCGAAGCCAAGCTGGACCGATTTCGTGACGAAGCCGATCCGGGCTCTTGAGCGGGGAAAGTCACGGAAGATGAAGAGCCTTAGTGGGCGCGAAGATGAAGATCCCCGGGGACACGGGCGACCCATTGGCGTCAAAGTATTAGGCCGAAGAAGACTACGTCGGAGTCTATACGTTGGCGTCTGGCAAGCATCGCCGATCATAGAGGAGAATCCTCGGTCAGGCAAGTGGTCTGTAACCTGGGGCAATACCGAGCAGTCGCTCACCCGTCCCCGGAAGAAAGATCTTCATTTCTTCCAAGGTATCGATAAATTTGGCGTACCTGTGTAACCCGCGACCCGAGTAGCTACTATTGAATCCTTCGAGTTCCCTTGCTTCGCTAATCTACGAGATCTTCTGTGATGCTCTCGAACAACAAATCATATGGACTTCATAAGACAGATTTATATAAATTATCGCCGGCTAAAACACTCAGTCTAATAGTCCAGCTAACTTGGTTAAGCCTTCGCGGTCAACTCGCATGCCCACCCAGTCGTCCATCTTCTTAGCTCCGATAGATTCGTAAAATTGAATGCTCGGCTCGTTCCACTTCAACACGCTCCATTCAAGCCTACCGCCGTTCGTCGCCACGACCTCCTTAGCCAACTCGACAAGGAGCCTCTTTCCGTAGCCCTTTTTCCGGTCCGTAGGCCGAACAAATAAGTCCTCGAGGTAAATACCAGGTTTTGATCGCCACGTGCTATAGTTGTAAAAGTACAGCGCCATGCCAGCTGGTTTATCTTCTTCGTTGAATAGCAGAAGGCATCGCGCCGGCTTTGAAGGCGATGTGGGCTCTGTGTTTGGGGCGGTAGAAGTCGATTCAACGTTATCAGGCGTGAAGGCTATCGTGGACAGGAGAGTAGCCTCGGTTGCCTCGACTGAATTAAGTTCATGTTCATAGTCTGCCAACTCGCGAATCTGTTCAAGAATGATTGGTACATCTGCCGGGGAGTGGTAATACAATTAGCTTGCGTATTTTAACCATAAATTTAGACTAAACATTAGGTACCTTCGCGGCGAGCGTGCCGAACCTTACAGGGTGCCGGTGCCATTGCGGGACGTTAAGCCGAGAATACAGATTAGTACGACGACACAGGTTTGATGCGAACTAGTTCTTAGGATGGATTACGTCTCGAAATGCTGGCGGGAATTTACCTTATACACAAATACCACTAATATCAACACGCCCTTCATGTAGTGCGGAAGCAAAAACGAGGGGTAGAAAAAAAAACCATAAGCCCCGAGTCTCGTAAAACCAAACCCTCCACATCCCCACAACATTGCTCAAAGACTAAGAGACTTGGATATAATAATAGTATAAAAATTACCGACAGAACACCACGAAAACGAGCCCCTTTAGTACTTCAGTTTAAAGGCGAGTTATCAAATTAAATCTATAATAATAGTTGAAGTAATAAGTTAAGCGGTCAGCTTTTTTGAAGTAGAGTTGTGTTTGTGTTGTTGTGGCACCTTGTCAACTGGAAACTAAGAGCTCACAAGACTCAAGACATGATAGAACCGGGCAAGAGACAACTCTAGATGAAATTAGAAAAGATCTAAGCTGCGACGAATTACGCATTACTTCTTCTATGAAGATTCGTCAGGTGGACTAGCAGCTGGCTTTTCAATCGCTATAAATTAGGTACGTACAGCTTAATATCATATTCCGATGACATGAAAAACTCTTCCGAAGCTCTAGAGCGTAACAGGTAGGTAGAAATGAATATAAAAACGCCTCTACTTAGATTATGAGAACATACGTACCTAAGGTAAGATTCGAAATAAGTGCGAACTTCGTCACGTCAGACCGGGTCGAGATGTCGTGATCCACCAGATCTAGAGCTCTCGCCAATCACGAAACTCGACAGGGTTACAGACACCGGCTTTCACCTCTGTAAAAGAAGCTTGCACCGTTTATAGATCTCTTAAATCAGCTATCGCTATTATGATGCAATGGTCCGGGGGTCGTAGGTCTCGTCATCGATAGGTATGCTCGCAAATCTTTGAACTGTCGAACTAAATTACGCGCTTCAGACGGATTTGGGGCGAAGAATACTTTCTTGTTTTCACCTGCTTTGGCGAAGTTGAGAAGACTATCTCTTTAAAGCTTGGGGTATGGTTATATCTGCGTAAGATGGCCGAAAAGACTTTACACGATGCTCCAGGAGAGAGTGTTAATGTCTCTGACTCTGAAACCACGGACTCCGGGATCAACGAACGCGCGCTGCTGAGAAAATTGGACCTACGGCTATTGCCCGCGGTTGGGATCTTGTATTTGTTGTCTTTTCTCGACCGCAGTAACGGTATGGCTTATAATTCTTTCTATCTACTGGGTGTCGAATTCGCTAATGTCCTATATAGTCGGAAACGCTCGGATTGAAGGCTTGCTTAATGATGTTCACATAAGTAGGCGTTCATGACATACCGTTAGCCAGCAGACTGCTGACCTTTGGCGAAGCTGGGAATCAGTATCTTACAGGGCTAACCCTTTACTTTGTGGGATACGTATTATTCGAGGTGAGACATCCGATAAATGCCACGATTTTTACGGAGATATATTGATCAGGGCGTAGATCCCTTGCAACATTATCCTTAAACGCACAACGCCTCGTATTTGGCTTCCAACTCTTACGATAGTATGGGGTATCGTGGCAACTTTAATGGGCATAGTCCAAAATCTAGCTGGGTTTCTCGTGAGCAGGTTCTTTCTCGGTGTTGGTGAGTTCCGAGGAGTCTTGTAACTTCTTATGGTTTCTCGTAATATCTGACTTGATGATAGTACGTGACGATATTTCTTATTGACATACCCCTTAGACCGTGTCGTACTGGGAACGTAAGGTTCCGGTAGAGGTTTGGAACCGAAATTATGCATGAATGCTCACATGAGATATCTAGGCGGAGAGTGGCTTGTTTCCGGGTGTAGTATTCTACTTTTCCATGTGGTATAAGAGGCGAGAGAGGCAATACCGCATATCACTCTTCTTTAGTGCCGCATCTCTGGCCGGCGCGTTTGGTGGTATATTGGCCTATGTTAGTCTATTCTAAACTTGATCTAGGCGAATTCGATATCTAACCTGAGCGTAGGGAATCGGAAGAATGCGCGGTATTGTCTGGGAGAACGGATGGCGTTGGATTTTTATTTTGGTTCGTTATGTCGACACTTGGAAACAGATTCTATGAGAGTCGCTAATACCATATTATATTCGTAGGAAGGCATTCTTACGGTCATAGTGGCAGCTGCGGCGTATGGATTTATTCACAACTATCCAGATACGTCGAAATTCTTAAACGAAGACGAGCGAAAATTCATTCACCAGCGCTTGGCGGCCGATAGCGATTCTACGCATGACGAGCGCTTTAATTGGAAGGCTGTCGTAGAAGCACTAAAAGATCCGAGCTGCTGGCTCTACGGCTTGGGTTTTCATACGATGAGTTTACCTCTCTATACCTTGTCCCTGTTTTTGGTATGAAGCATCCCAACTTTGGTAGTATCTGCGAAGCAACTAATTTCTCGTAGCCAACCATCATAGCAAATCTTGGATATACGGCGGCAACAGCACAGCTGCTTACCGTCCCGCCGTATGCGTTCGCATTCATAACAACAGCCTCCGTGGCCGTTCTGTCCGAGCGACTTGGCCAAAGAGCCATCTTCATCGGCGGTTCTGCTATCTTCGCCGCGATCGGTTACTCTATCCTGTTAGGAAACAGTGATCCAGTCGCAAGACCTGGGGTTAGTTATGTTGGCGTGTTCTTCGCCGCTGGCGGTATATACCCAGCGAGCGCCCTCGTGTTGTCTTGGCCTGCTATCAACGTTTCGGGCCAGACGAAGCGAGCCATTGCGAATGCCATGCAAATTAGTATCGGGAACCTCGGCGCCGTACTAGGTACACAGCTATACCGCGCAACGGACGGACCTAGATTTATCGTGGGCCACTCCGTTGCTCTTGGATATCTCGTTGCCAACGCTGCTGTTGTGACGATCTTGGGGATAAGATTAAAACGAGAGAATAGGAGGCGGGAAGTAATAGCGGAAGAAATCAAGCACGTCGGGGAAGTGGCTGACTGGCAGGGAGATTCGGATCCGAGGTGGCGTTTTGAATATTAACACCCACGAAGTGTCTGATACTTGTGCCTACCTAGACCGGGCATTTTAGAAGAGAGTTTGGCCCGCCACCTTGGTACAAGTCGGAAAGAATACCCAAATATACCCATAGTAAGTATGCAATTTAAGAGTGGTTATCTACCGTAGGTTACCCAAATATCTATAATAGTAGTACAGCGTGATCTTATATACCTAAACTCCCTATCGTCAAAGGACATGCCAAAGTGTAATTATATCCAGCACTCCATCACTAAGAACTGAGACCTGACAATCGCCTGAACGCCGAATTCTCTAGTATGGGGAACTCACCCTCCATCTGTATATCCTTTGCCTTGAACTGGTCCTTATACCGTCCCATGGCCATTTCTGTCAAGAAATGCCCCAGCTCTTGAGTAGGGCTACAAATCGACTTAGCAGCAAACCTTACCGGTGGGCCCAGAAGCACCTCCCCAGCCTTGTATAGCGCTCCTTTGGCGGGGAGGTAGGGCTTAATGGCATCATGACTGGCGGAATCGACAAAAGCCGGGCGGACTGAGCTAGCATGAAAAGAAGGGTTTGCTTTACGCATCTCAGCCAGCGCCAGCTCGGTCTCGCCCTTCACTCGGGCGAAAATAGGGGAGAATCGACCGGGCTGCTGTGTGGCACCCCTCCCTGAGACGAACACAAAGTTAAATGGCTTCTCTTCCGAGCCCAGAGTCTGGAGGGCTTTTGATGCTGCCAATGTATAGTCCTTGGTAATCTTTACGTATTCCCTGGGCGAATTCGTTAGATAACAACACAAATATGATAGTTAAGATAGTTCCTTGGATAACTTACTCCGCGCCAACTTGCGTTTGACTGATGCCCAAAGCCCATACACAACCTGAAGCTCCCTTGAGTTGGGATAGTAATTCGGAATCGTACTTCTCGAAGTCGTTATGGAGAATTACATTTATTCGAGGGTCCTTGGCATCTTCAGCCATCTTGACAGGCCGACGGCTAAGGATAGATATCCTGCTGACTTCCTTCATCTTGATCATTGCGTCGAGGACGCCAGAGCCTACTAGGCCTGTGGCTCCGGTAAGTATTAGATGCATGGCGTTTGACTGGAAGCTTAACGTTTGGTAGAAAGGAAACTTGGAAGGTTAAACACGATGAAGGTCGAGATTGCTATCAGGAACGGGGACGTAATGAACTCAAGGCTTAATCATTGAATCTCACGCTGGGCATTTCTACAAGACTAAGACTTTACTTATATTCAAAATGGCTGGCCGCTATCCAGAAACTAATCATTTCGTAGCAGCCTCTCTAGGCCCCGACGCTTACGATTTCGAGCTCTACGAAGGCAGCGCTGCGCTGACGCCAGCAGGTTTGGACACGAAACTAGGCGGCTGTAAGCGGACTTAGTGCACATCGACACAGATGATACATTAATTCCGGCATCCCGCGGAACGCTATGCTTGATCTTGATGGATCAGGATTTAACAGGATTAACCCCGGTGAAGTCCGACAGCTTGTTCTGCAAAAGGAATTTATTTCGACATATCTCGCTACCTATCTTGTTACATACGCCATTTCGAGTATATTATGACCGACGAACCCAAGACGGACGTAGAAACTGGGGGTCGCCTGTCGCTTATAATATGTTAGCTTTGATTGCGTGGGGATAGCGGCAATGCTTGTCAAAGAGGCGGTGCGTAATGATCAAAAGTTGTACGCCACGAAGACATGATGCGAAGGAAACAATGGTTAACATTATCGCGAGGACTCCTAGGTAAGAACCGTTAGGTAGGTGCCTAGCTTGGGTGAGATGTATTTGTTGAATTTTTCAGGTAGGCTACACCGTCCTATGACGTTCAGAAAAACAAGCAAAGGTTGAGGAGATTGAAAAAAAATATCTGGTACAAACGCGGGTATGGGATAATTTTACCTTTTGATCTATGTAAGCATAAGGAGCTTTTCACGGCCTTGGTTACCGCGATAGGTAGCTGATAAACTCGCAGGCTTCACAATTGTAGTTTCTGGCGCGCGTGGCTTCAGCCTGTGCTGAATTATCCTTGGTGTCCAAAAAAGAAGGCATATAAGCTGCGTGGCGCTTGTTTAGTAATGCAGGTTAGGGAACTGACAGAGAATCGAGTATGTAGTCGCTGATTCGCTAGTCGCTACGTGTAAGAGCTGGTAGTATTACTATTGCTGCATAAGGTAGCAAACTCGAAAACCTGTCTAAGGTATGAATATCACACTTATCAGCTGCAGTTGGTACTCGTTCTGGCCACTTAGATGTGGTGGTTCAGCCCCGGATTCGTAGCTGTATTACACACATTAGTTTAGTCGAGGGCACATGCGTATCCCGACTGAGCACGGACCTGGACCCTTGCCTCCTTAGATGGTTATCCTCTACTATGTAAATGCTACGTGGTAGATAGATGCGTCTTTTACTCATATGAAACTGGGGTCGATACGAGGGCTTGAACTTGGCCGATGACGTCTGATTCTTTGCCGTAGCTGGAGAGCCTGATTGTATTTATAAGCTGAAGAGCGCTCTGAAAAAGCTATTGATGAGCAGATTTAAGTTCTTCTGACAATGAATCGTAAAGGGCCAGATGAGGAATGTGTCAAATACAAGTAAGCAGTCGAAGCAATGCGCGATTACAGGGCCCTGACTAACTCTGATTGACCATGCGGCCAATCGATCTGCGAAACTTGGTAGAACGGTAGCATTGCCCAGCTAAGTCTAGTGGACCTTGCAGGACTTAGTAATTCCAAAAAGTCCAACGGATTGAGGTCGTCGAGCTGGATGGGACGGTGTGATGTAAGTGAATGCTTAGTTGCTAGTTTCTCGCGACGGGCTCTGTTACCTTTACCCCCCTTATAGCATATCATCTCAAAAATATCTCGAGAACTTACATATCATAAGGATTTATCTCTCTTATGGTGGGTAGTAATGAGGTAGCGTATCTTCGTTCCGGGTTGTTCCCATAAAGCGTGTCTTTTTCCCTCCAAGCTTTCCCGACTCCGGGATATCTGTCAAACAAAGAAAAACGAGAGAACGCTTGAGAGGACCTAGGTATAAGAGAACGATAAGAGATATCCAATATCTAATAGCGAGGTCTAATAGGACCAATTACCATCACGTGATATCATCTCCGTCGAATACATGTAAGGGAACAAATTCGAGCTCCAGTCTTCAAGATTGTAATCCCTGACACCCTGGACACTTGGACAACCCGGACACCCCTGGCAGGCCTGGACAAGAAGCTAAACAAGGTGCGGGGCCCCAAGACAACTTCTGCCGACTCAACAACCTTTAGACCTTCCCAAGAATCCAAGACTTCCGAGACTCCACGATTTCATGACAGCTCCCGGAGATTAAAAAAAAAAAATCATTTGGGTACCGTGTTAGACGCGCCGAGTCTTTCACTTTGTACTATCTCCGCGACTTCTATGGCCTCCTCTTGTCTGCCGTATCCCCATGTCGGATCGAATGGCGCCGAAATCAGATACTGATACAAGAGAAGAGGAGCGCCTTGCCGCCTGCTTCAACTGTAAGAAATCCAAGTTAAAATGCGTCCGGCCCGCCGGGTCTCCGACGTGTACTCGATGCACTCAGCGCTCGATTCAATGTTCTGCGCCGCTCTTTCACGTAGGCCGTCATAAAGGGGTTAAGAAGTGAGTTCTTCGTAGCTTAATTCGTATTCGCGCGCGCCACGAAACCTGGCTAACAGCGATGATAGCAAGCATTCGGGATTAGAAAAGGCCGTCTTCCAGATTGAGCAGGCATTGAGAAGATCCAGTTCTGGCGCCTTGGACCAGATACAGACGGCTGAGCAAGCTAACGAATTGAGATTTCTGCTCGAGAGGAGCAGAGAGCTCCTGGGGAGTGACCATGGATTTCCTAGCCGCGTATCGTCTCAGAATAGCGTGGAGCACGATCAAGTATCCGTGTCTCCCCAGCAGACTTCGACTTCATTAGGAACGTCGCCTTCTCAGACTTGTTCGCGCGACGACTCGGCTGTGAATACCAAAGTTGAGGAAGATCAACTTAGTCTAGACGATGCTGAGAACCCGTTACAACTGCTCGCTCGAACGTCCGAGCTTCTATCATCTATAACGCCGCAGATGCAAGGGAACGGTGCGGGACGGCTACTTTCTAAATCTACGTCCAACCGCGGCGTTGTTGGAGAGAGCGACGATTTACAGAAATTCTTCGGTCGTTTCCAAGCGCGACTGGATGTCGGTGAAGATCTTGATCCCATTGAATTGGGACTTATCACCCTCAGCGAGGCTGAATCATTATTCTCTTAGTATGAACGGACTCCTCGTGAAAACGGTTATGACTTTGCATTGCCAAACTAACATTTTTTCCAGCTTTTACGAAAAACTTGCGCATACGCGCTGGGGCATCGACCCTGTCATACACACGGTAGAATTTGTTCGAAGTCGTTCGGCTTTTCTATTGACTTCGATAGCTGCTGCATCGGCGCTCTTCTCGCCGTCGATGGAGTCATTATACAAAAGGCTCTCGAATCATCGGCAGAAGCTCGCCAGTCTTGTTATGGCTAAACGCTACAAGTCCGTGGAGATTATTCTAGCGTTCATGGTTAATATACCGTGGATCTCGGCTGGTGAGCATTGGGCTGATGATGAAACCTCAACCTATCTTTCTATGGCCTTGACAATCGCCCTGGACTTGTCTCTGAATAAAGTTATATTACCCTCATCCACAGAACCGCGGAGTCCGAGGGACACCATCGCTACATCTGACTGCATTTCTGGCCGAAAAGCTCTCGGCATAGACGGTTTCAGCGATGTCGACCCAGACTCTCCGAAGGGCCGGAGACTTTTGAGGAGGAGAGAGAGAACTTGGCTATCCCTATTCGTTCTTGAAAGAGGGTACGAAACATCGACTTTTTTGACTTTTTTTTTCTTGAGTCGATCACGAGCCGATCAGCTACTGACATCATATTTTACTGCAGCGTATGTCTCGCGAGAGGGAGGAATTATGTGCTACCAATGTCGCCACTTATCGAGAACTGCGATCAATGGCATCTAAGCGATCTAGCTGATAGATGGGACGGCTCAATCGTCTCCGTGGCGGTTTTAAGAAGAGATTTGGTATTAATTGTCGCCCCTACCTACCCACTGACGGGAGACTTACATTTTTTCATAGGCAAATCTAATCTCGAAAGTAAAATCGATATGCGACAGTTACGTCAACGGCAATAGCGAAGTATCCGTTGTTGATAGGTACGTTTTCCTACTCTTGCTGCTGAGAATGAAATTTACTTATACATGACCTTTTGTAGAGTAAAAAATGAAATCACCATGTTCTTTGATAGGTGGTATCAAACCTGGCCTTTGCAGTTAGGCGACCGCGAGCGTTAGTTTTTACTCCCCAAGAAGCATCTTCCCACGTGCGGCTCAGCTAACTTCATGGTAGAACTTTCATTACCTCCATATGTCGAGATTCTCGCGTCCCATACGCGGTTATCCCTATATAGTTCTGTGATTAACCACGGTACTGCGCCTGTGGGAGCGCGTCATTTCTTCCGCGCTGCTGGCCTCTCATCTGCGTTAAACGTCTTACGAGTAGCTGTTCAAGGTGAAGGACAGCTTAGGTCTATGCCCAATAACACGGCCATCATGATTTCCTTCGCTGCTTGCTTTGCTCTCAGAGTCAGCACGGTCGCCGATGGTCGAAGCTCGAGCCTGGCTCCTAGCATCAGGGCTCTCATAGCAGAGACTATAGACGTACTAGAGAGGATAGGATCGACCCCTATCCAACGGAAGGGTCTTTCTTGCTTATTCGCAGGACAGTTGAGGCAGATACTCAAATACGCTTCGCGGGCGTCAGAAGCGGCACAAACCCTACCGGAGCCCAACAGAGACCTTACGAAACACGCTTCTATTTATACGGATTTGAATGTCGCTCATATGACGAACCACCAAGGCGCGATACAAATGCCGGTGGCAGCGTCAAATCTACCACCGGACTACTTATTATTCTCCACCATGTCTAACGAAAACCAGCTAGACGAGGCCATCCATAGCACCGACATTGGGCTCAATGCGTTCTGGGAGGATTTCCAGTTCCAAAGCGCCGACTTGGACTGGATGGACTGGTCAACTTTTAGCACGTAGATGTACAACTTTTTCAAGTCAGGTATCTTTTTGGATAGCAGGGCGTTTCGGCGTTCGTAAACTAAAGGAGGTGTGGGGGGGAACATTGCCGCGATGGTGTTGGGCCCGGGACGGGACGGGTAGGCATTTGGATAATATCGGTTCAATGCATTATCTACCGCGATAGCTTCGGTCTCTCTGAAATCTCTGAGATAAGAAACAAGCCGATCACACCCTATTAGGACCCTTCTCGCATGAGATGCTACGAAGGGTTACAATGATGTGTTAAATAAAAATAACGACTATCCTGCATACGGCCGTGTTTACTAAGAAAACTGGAAGATTTCTAACTCATCTGTCAGAACAGGTTTCTAGAACAGTGTTCGAAGATCCGCTGCGATCCAGCCTAGTAGCAATATATTTTTACTATTCCGGTATTGTGTCTGTCTGCCCAATGTGACAATACCTCTATCACACCTACCATAGGAACCCTGAGATTATGAGATGCCAAATTGGGACAAACTCATTGGTTAGGTACCTACCTAGGTATGTACATAGCTTAAACGACTGTCGTAAAGTGGCTCCCTTGCCTTCGATCCCAACCTGCATCCCGGGGAGCTTATCGTGCAGTATTATGTTAGGTAGCTTCGAACAATCACGCCTTTTAGACAGCCCTCTGAGACTTGACTGTACTTTCCTACCTTGCCTTGGGCTTGCAGATTTCGTCTGGTAATGAACGACCTGTCAACCCCGGGCCTTGTTGCTCAAACTGAGACGGGAGAACTAAAGAGCCCTGTCGGTCGTATATCAACCTCCGCGTATTCAGACCTGTTCCCCCGCAGCAACGCCTCCCTGTTAGTGTTAGTACCATCTCTCAAGTAAACCACCTATCCCGGCTATCCCAGCACGATTGGCTTACTCTTGACGAAGACAAAGGCTTACCCCACACGCCAATTTGAAATGAACTCGATGCCCTGTTGGACCCCTGGCCTCTCCCCAACTCTCACCAAGAGTACTAATGTACTAGTAATCTAAGCCCCCCCCCCCGCAAATCTAACTGGTGTCCCGTTTGGGTCTGCCAGCTAGCCAGCTTGTGATACCAACGCCCTAGTCTGCGTAGGTATTTAGTTGCTGGTCGCCAAAGCTTTAAAGGTTTGGTGTTATACGGCGTTCCAAACAAAGGACAAACAAACCCGACCGTCTTCTCCTGTCTCTGGCCTTCTTGCTTTCCGTCTCCACCCCTCCCCCCCTCCTTCGAGTTGTAACTTGGAAAGGAAAGAGAAAAGAAAAGGGAAGAAAGCTTAACGATGCCGTCTTCCGATAATAGCGATTTGCCCAATAAGGCGACGGTGGAGGAGCTCGAGAAGGGCGGCGCGATACATGTCAGTTCCGCGGAGAGGAACCTGACGCGCAAAGTCCTATGGAAGCTAGACACAAGGTTCGGTCTGACCCTCCCCTTTTTGCATCATTTTCGTTCTCCAAGTAAAGGAGAAAGAAATATGTTAGACATTTGCAAGTGAGATCCATCTGTCTAACCCGCCATGACATAGGATTTTACCCATCCTCGCTGTTCTGTTCCTTTGCTCGTTCCTGGACAGGACTAACGTGGGGAATGCGAAGCTGTACAACCTTGAGAAGGACTTGGACATAACGGACCACCAATACGACCAAGGTCTTGCAGTCTTCTACGCGACTTATATCCTGAGCGAGATTCCAAGCAATCTCATTCTCAAGAAGCTGACGCCCCAAATCTGGTTGCCATGCCTGACCTTCTTGTGGGGGGTGTCCGCCATGTGTCTCGGATTCGTTCAGAACTTCTCTGGTTTCGTGGGCGTTCGCGCGCTACTCGGGTTAGTCAATCCTACTTGTGTCTGAATACCACATTGTTCCGAACAGGAAAATGCTAATCGTCAGCAACGCAGGTTGACTGAAGGCGGTTTACTGCCAGGAATTGTGAGTCGAATGACTTTTGCCGTAGGAAAGTCCTAGCTAATGAGACGCCACAGGTTCTATACTTGTCCACTGTCTATACGCGAGGTGAACTCGCCTTGCGCATTGGTATTTTCTATACGGCTGCGTCTTTATCCGGCGCCTTTGGAGGTATACGCCCTGTGTCATCACACGAGGAACCCCATCTGACAACGTCTTAGGATTACTGGCTCGTGGAATAGCTGAGATAGGAACTCGAGGTGGCCTTAACAAGTGGAGATGGATTTTCGTGATCGAAGGTCTATTTGTAAGTGATCCGCAGTCTTATATGAGAAATCAGAAATGCTGACATTTTCCGGAGACTGCTATTGTCGGAATCACCGCGTATTTCATCCTTCCTAACGGTGTCGGTACGGCGAGATTCCTCAATGAGGAGGAGCGCGAATTCGCTGTCAATCGCCTCAACGCTGCTAGCCAAGGTGATGGTAGCAACCGTGAAAGGTACGTCTGATTTCGGCCATGCAATTAATTCCCGTACAGCATGATACTGACGAACTTCTAGGGAGGCCACCGAGAAGTTCTCCTGGTCCGAAGTACGCCGCGGCGTCTTTAGCTTGCAGACCTGGTTCACTGCTTCGGCATACTTTGGTATTCTCAGTGGACTTTATAGCTTCGGACTTTTCGTAAGCAACTTTTAGATACCTTATTTCTAAGAGCGATTCTAATAAATAATTGTTAGCTGCCGACAATCATTACGGGGTTGGGATATACGGCGGACGAAGCCCAGCTATGGTCCGTTATTCCATACGCAGTGGCCTCCGTGATTACAGGTATGTTTATTATTATAACACGCAGTCGAAGGTACTCGAATGTAAAACTTACAGAAAATAGTCGTAACCGCATTTATCTCCGATCGCTTCCGTGTTAGAGGAATTGTCATGCTTTTCTCGTTGCCGCTGGCGATCATAGGATATGCCGTGATCGCGAACGTCGACAACGTCAAGGTCAAATACGGCATGACATTTCTCATGGCTACCGGTTTATACAGCAGCGTGCCACCTGTTCTCGGTTGGCTCTCCAACGTAAGTTTCGTCCCAGACCTTGTCGCATGAAATGAGCGCCCTTTCTTTCAAAGCGTAGTCCTCGTATTATTGTCGTTCTCGTAACTGACATTCGTCGGATATAGAACTCTGCTGGTCACTATAAGCGAGCGACGACTAGCGCCTTGCAGCTAGCCATTGCGAACTGTGGTGGATTTGTCGCCGTATTTATCTATCCGAAAGCCCAAGGACCGGCATACCACGAAGGCCACACCATCATTCTGGGAGTCTTGTGCGCTGGATGGTTTTTGTAAGTGCTCGATTTCGATAGATCAAGGTCATCATCGTCTAACGAACTCCTAGGATTCTTTGCAACGTGCTATACTGCTGGAAGATCAACGGGGACAAGGCCAACGGTAAATACGACAAATACCGCGGGTTCGGTGACGACCGTGACCCTACATTTAAGCTAGTGCTATAGAGAATCAGCAATTACCAAGTTGGCTAAGGGTGAAAGTACGGTGTTGGTGTATATGATTTTTCATGAGAAGCGGGTAGCAGGATCGTTACGACGGGTATTTGCTTTACAAAGCGGAATCAAATCAACTCGGTTTAGGTTGAATGTGAAAAGTACCTATAAAGGGAACACGGTCTTTTTTCGGGAGCCTTTTCATGATATTTCATTGAATACCTGAGAGTCTCTCTGAAGTATATTTATACCACATTTTTTGACGGGCTCACGTAAACATATCAATATGAAACGAGGACGGCGTGTTTCCTTGGGAGTCTCGAGAAGTACTTGAATAATGAAAATTAAGATATCATTGAATATATGACTTTTGACTAGTTGTCAAACTCTACGCTCATATACGACTGACGAAATAGTTATAAACGATAAAAATCGCACGATGCTCTCATGAGAGCACACGTACGAGCATATCCGGCATCACAAATATTACCCGAAACTCGAAGGCTAGGACCAATGGATGAAACCCAAGCCCTTACAGACTGGTACAGTTACTGGCTGGTTTTGCAGTTAGTTTCTTGGAACTCTTGGCCCTGAATTGACGGTCCGATACGGTTAAGATATCCACGATATCCAGGATACCCAGGATACCCTGGATACTCAGGGAATACCGTAAAGCTATCTAAGCCTCTGTGGCTAAAGATAATAAGATAATTCGGGGTTTTTGGTGTCGGCGGTTCTTGAATTACCGAATCCATTCTTCTCAGGGATCATTGCCGCGGCATTCTATCGTAATTCCACCTATCGAGATTCTAAGCTACGCTGCTAAGATATTGTACCTAACCTAATGATCCCGCTATAATGAAGCTTGCCTTGCTAAAATAGCTTATCTACGGTGAACTGATGTGCTAGGTTAGGCTAGGTAGTTAAAATACTTGCCGGTGACGTCGAATTTGTCCTTGTTCGTTGTAGACCTTGAAGAAGACGAATGCGAAAAACGGAGGCAGAAAACATCCATCGGATATTATTAGGCCGAAGAGGGATACCCGATTGGAATTACCTAGGTTAAGTTAAGTTCAAGTTGTTAAAGTTGTAATACCAACTACCTGGTAGCTGTCTTTCTCTAACTTGGCTTCATTCGTTTGTCCTGTTTCGCGCAATTAAATCAAATATGTCAAAACTCTCATCGTCCCTCAAGGCGCTCATATTACATGCCGGACATGCACGAGCGGGCTATACTCCCTCATCGGCTAGCGTGCAGACTGCTTTGACCAAGTTCGCAAAGGATGCGGCAGAGAAGAAAGTTGGATTACCGGCTTGGGTGACTTTGTCGGTATGTTTAAATATTTTTTATTTTTTATTTTTCAAGTTTTTTTAATTACTTTTTTTCTTTGAACCCTGCCGAGAAAGGGGAGATGAGAATACGAGAAAGTGTAGAACCTGCTTGCTAACCATAAATATCGTAGACAGCCGTGTCGGCAACGTTAAACTGCCACGAAGCCATGACCCAGATCTTCCACCTAGCCAACTCGACCGCGACCCCCAACGAGCAGCGCACGCCCGTCCAGAACGCCGAGCTGATCCGCGAAGTCGCGCTCAAGTGTATCTCTTTCAACGGCATCCCGCGCAGCATCAACACGTTGAACGCGTTCCGCGCTAGCCTACCCCACGACGTAGCCTCGTCGCTGAGCACAACCCCGACGCGCGAGCTGACGCCGTCTAACCTCGAAACCCGCAAACGCGACGGCCTCGCCCTCTGGGATAGCGTCTACGTCGGCTTCGAGCGCAAGCTGCTCGACAAGCTAGCCCAGTCGCACCCGGATCTCCCCGTTCATATTCTCAACGGCCACTACTCCAACTTGCTGTCGAACCCGCGCGACGTGGACGCTCCCGTGAAGGTCGGCCGTGTGCTCACGTCGCTCGTAGCTATCGCGTGCTTGCGCGCGCAGACAGGTGTTGGACCTCAGGTCGTTTCTCATATCTTTGGTCTAAGGAAGGCGTACGAAAACGGTGACGCGCACGCTGAAGGCGAAGAGCCTGTCGAGGGCGGCGCATGGCTGGCTACTGAAGACGGTAATTTCTGGATATTGGAGAACATCGATAAGTTGGTCCATGAGATCAGTAACGGCGAGGGAACTACATTTGCGCCAGGGTTTCGTGCGAAATTATAAGGAATGGACGCATAGATAATACGCCGGTCGATGGTACGATCATCGAGAAGGGTTTGGATGTATAAATGAATTTGCGAATTTGTATATAAGAAAGAGTAAGAGCCTAGGAGCTTAAATAGAGTCAATATTGTTACGTGGCTATATTTCACATAAGCCTGAGAGATAGATGACCGTCAAAGATGTACATAATATAATATATGGCGTATGCGCTCATAACATTCGTTTCTATACACAAATCCAGGCTAACTTATATACACTATCTTGATTAAATACAAACACTCCTGGTGCGAACCATATTCCATCTTGACACGTCTCGTCTGGTATCATCTTTGTATCTTGCTTTCTCGCGCTTCTATTCTTAGAACGTCTTCAAATCGTCTGCAACCGCAAATTCCGCGTCGGTCTTAGCCTTAACAGTCTCGAGTTCGACCCCTTCCGCAATCTCCGTGAGCGTTAAACCGCCCTTCGTGCGATCAACCTGGAAAACGGCGAGGTCGGTGATGATAGTGCTGACGACACCCTTGCCGGTTAGAGGCAGTTTGCAGTCCTGGACGATCTTGCTTCGACCTTTCTTGTCAACGTGCTCCGTAGCCACGACGATCTTGGTTTGCTCCGGGTTCGACACGAGGTCCATGGCGCCGCCCATTCCCTTGAAGATATGGCCGGGGATCATGTAATTGGCTAAATCTCCCGACGCAGAAACCTGGAAAGCACCTAGGATCGAGACATCAACGTGACCACCGCGGATCATGCCGAACGACTCGGCCGAGTCGAAAGTCGCCGCTCCCGGTAGCAACGTGACCGTTTCCTTGCCCGCGTTGACCAGATCCGGGTCAGCTTCATCCTCCGTCGCCGGGTAACCTCCCATACCGAGGATACCATTCTCCGACTGCAACCAGACTTTCGTATTCTCGGGTAGGTATGTGGCCGCCAGCGTAGGGATTCCTACGCCCAAATTGACGTAATAGCCATCGTGCAGCTCCTTAGCCGCACGCCTCGCGATGCGATTCCGAGCGTCAAGCGTGCTCGGTTTGCCCGAATTCGGATCCTCCTTAAGCGGCGCTATCTTCAGCACTTCGAAATTCTTGGCCGCCGTGGCCGGCACGATGCGGTCGATGTAGATGCCCGGGAGATTGACGCTGTCCGGATCGATGGATCCGATCGGTACGATGTTCTCGGCTTCGACGATGGCGATGCGTGCCGCCTTGGCCATAAGGCCCGCATACGTCTTCGTAGTGTACCTATAATAGGGCTCTTGTAAATATGGTATACGATATAAACATAAACGGCTTGGGAAATACTAGGCTAGAAACTCACTTGAATACGCAATTTCCTGCCTCGTCGACCTTCCACGCGCGCAGAATCGCTACATCGCCAGGAAGAGCCGTCTCCATGATGTAGGATTTCCCATTGAATACCCTGGTCTCTTTTGGCTTGCCTTTTTCCAGGACAGCCTCCGGAGTAAATCTCACAGGTATCTCGCCGGTCTCAACGAACGTCTTCCCGCCTGTTGCCGTATAAAATGCCGGGATACCAGCCCCGGCGGCTCTTAGCCTCTCCGCTAACGTGCCTTGCGGACATAGCTCGACAGCTATTTTTCCTGTTAAGTACTGCTTCTCAAGTTCCTTATTCGATCCTAGGTAAGAGAGGATAATGCGACTTAGTCGTCCGTCTCTAGTGAGTAAGGCTAAACCGTGGTCGCCGGAACCAGCGTTATTCGACACGGCCGTGAGATCCTTAAGACCCCTTTTATGTATGGCCTGAATGAGAGTTTCTACGCGTATTACCAGTTAGCCACTACCAGCTCTATAAGTTACTACTGCCCACTGTAGCTTGGACCGGGACTTTTTGAGAAGTCAAAGCCGCTGCTAAAGCCGCCCGAAGGTTGAACAAGCCAATCGCTTTATTTCTTACGCACCAGCAACGCCGCATAACCCAAACCCTGCGCTTAAGATCACGTCGCCATCCTTCAAGTCTGCGACAGCCTCATCCGCAGATTTGAAGACTTTGGAGCCGCCCCGCGCCGCTTTCGCAGGCGCATCAGTCGCGTACCACCGGTGTGACCTCCAGACGTATGGGGTAAATCTAGTTCCAGCAAGAGCAGTAGTAGCAACGCAATATTGTCGTCGCGCATGAGGCACCGCCCATCGATGTGAGAGTTGGACGGAAGCGCTAAGGACAGCACTCCGGGGACGCGCCATCTTAAGAGAGGAATGGAGGGATGTATATAACTAAAAGAAAGCTAAGGAAAGGCCTAATATTCAAAAAGGACCATTCGCGTTCACGTAAAAAAATAAAATAAAATAAAATTCAAAAAGGAACTGGGAATATCTACTCTTGAAATCTATTTACGGAGGTGTATGATTAATGTATGAATAACTGGTATATTGGCCGGTTAATTGGATCTATTTTATCATGACGAAATGCTCTTACGCCGAGGTTTGTTTTCGGTGCTCGCTGGTTAATTGGTCCAACGGTTTCGTCGGCCATTGATTTATGTCCGTAGCCTTTGTCTTTTGCTCCAACTTTTCCGGGGCGTCGGATACTATTTTAAGTTCCACGCGAAAGTGGATAACGAGGCAAGAGGAATTAGGAGGTAGATTATTGCTCACCTCTTGCGGCTGAGTTGTAGAAAAAACCCCTTTACATCTTATTATTAGGGACGCTGGATGGTTGATATAGGAGACTCGAATATGCACGCCTCATCAGCGGAAGCCAAAGAGCCTCTTGATTAGACAAAAAAGCCTTAATATATCATTCATAGGTACCTGTAGGTACATTCCTACCGCTGGAAACAAAAGGATCGAGATCCGAGTATGTAAATGTTTTCTATCTGATCATATTATAGGCGCTGATCAAACTCGATGTAATAGTATACAGTGGTAGCAGCAAGTTCTCTTATTAAAAAAAAAACAACATATTCCTCAACGAGCTTCCTTGGTGAGAAAGCCGCTATCCTCTCGGAACCCACTGACTCCAGTAACGACGATAAAACCAAAAGGGGACCAACGGGATTCTATGAAGGTATATCCAGTCCAAGCGTAACCCAATAACTTAGACCCTTTCCATGGTCTATGGTATCCCTCCATGATATGCAATGCAGCAAGCAGCAAAACGTAATCAGAAATCAGAAACCATATATACCAAAAGGACTTTGAAAGTCAAAGTAAAAGAAAAAAGAAATAGAACAGGAAAAAAAAAAACGCCGTAGTTCTCTCTCAATGACGCCCAATACTCTCAACACGGAACCCTAATTCGCCGAGCTCAGCCGCGTCGATGATGCCCTTGCCATCAAACAGCCATTTCGGCTTGTTCATACCCAAGGAGATCCTGCTCCAATCCAGCCTCTCCTTAGGTCTGTTTTCGCCAGAATTCCCTGCCGTAGAATAGCCGCTCGCCTTGATCAAGCGGCAGTCGAGGCAGCTGCTCTCGCAGGCCGGTTGTGGTCTATACCGCTTCAAAGGGTCGTTGTCGGGGTAAGTGTTCGCCGGCGCGATGCTTAAAGAGTAATTTTGGAGTGACATGAGATCCGACTCCGTTGGTGGATTAGGTAACGGCCGGGGATCGACTGCTTTTGGCGACGTCAAGGGTAAGCCTAACCCGCCCGCGTAGGTCCGGCTGCTTCGAAATTCGTCGCATTCGGTTGTGATCAAGATGGCGTTGCTGCGTTCGCAGGCGGTATAAGCGCTCCAATGGATCTCGATCGGCCCTCCGTCTTCCTTGAGAGCCGGTTGACCACTGAGAAGCCCCTTGATTTCCGTCTTCACTACCACAGGGTTGCAGCAGGGATCAAACACCGCAATCTCCTTGGGGCGCTCTTCGAGGAGCGTCTTGATGATTTCGAGCGCCGGTGATTCCCTCGTATCGGAATTATTGGCCTTAAATGCGTATCCAAGCAGGGTGATCTTCTTTCCAAGCAGAGTATTATTCAGGCACCGAATCACGCGCCTAGAGAAGCGATCGCGCTGGTACTCGTTCATCTTTACCACCTGCCTCCAGTATTCGCCGACTTCATCTAAACCAAGGGACTCGGCCAGGTATACGAGGCTGAGAATATCCTTCTTGAAGCAGCTTCCACCGAAGCCAATCCCGGCCTTGAGAAACTTGTCTCCGATGCGAGGGTCGCTACCGATAGACGCTGCGATCTCGTCAACATCTGCTCCAGTTTTCTCGCAGATGGCAGAGATCGAGTTAATGCTGCTGATACGCTGCGCTAGCATGGAGTTTGCGACAAGCTTTGACAGCTCTGAAGAGTAGACATTTGTCATGATGATGCGGGATGGCGGGACCCATGCTTCATAAACACTTGCTAGAGTTTTGGCAGCTTTTCTACCAGATGCGGTGTTTATAGAACCGATAAGTATGCGATCAGGATGCATAAGATCTTTCATGGCTGTACCCGCGGCTAAGAACTCTGGGTTCGAGAGTATCTCAAAATGAACTCCGGGGCGATGAATTGCCATCTAATAAAAGTTATTAGCAGGTAGACTTTCTCCTCTGTTCAACTGTCGTACGATAGACTTGAACTTACGGTATTCCGGACGAGCTCTGCCGTCCCGCAAGGCACAGTCGACTTTTCCACAATAATGGTTCCTGGCATAGCATGCTTTGCGACCTCGACGGCGACATCTTCAAAAGCTGTCATGTCAGTAGCGCTTCCCGCTCCAGCCCCCTTTGATTTCGTTGGCGTGTTGACTGCGATGAGAACTATATCCGCCTTGCCAATGCACTGTGCAACCCGGTCCGAGAAGAATAAATTAGGTGCTCTACCATCCACGATCATATTCTCTCTTAAAAACACGAAACCTTGTTTAGAACTGATGGCGGCGGAAAGGTCCAGCGAGTCGACACTAGTATCAGTTGGCTTATTGAGGAAAACAGCCCCTCTCGCCCCGTCACGAGCGATGCGGACAATGTCAACCAATCCTGGTTCGTAAATAGGCAGATGTTTCGAGTTCCATCGCTGGATTCGCTGCTTATCCTTGTCAACGACAGTAACATCGATTTCCGGGTTGTGGTAGGCGATGACAGCAGCTGTCGGTCCACCTAGGTAATCCATTAGCTTCGAAGCACGATGGGATATGATTGAGGAGATGTGTATATGTCTTAGAGACGATCTTGCAAAGAGGAGGGGTGTAAACTAACCAACATAACCTGCACCAACGCAACATATTCTGCGAACACGATGTGTTATCGTCCGCGACGGGTTGGTTCGCTCGTAGTCCGCAGCTAATCCAGGAGTAAACGTCAGACTAGATGATGAACTTGGACTCGTAGGAGCTGTTGAATCATCACTAACTACGCTACCACCTTTAGCTCTAGTCGCTGCAGTGAGCTTCGGCGCGAAGATGGAACCCATGGTAGCGAAAACGGAGTCCGGAATAGGTCACGACAGCAGTATGCAAAAGTTGAAACCCAAGACAAGCCAATTTGCCTTACGAGCTCGTGATCTCACACACGATATATGAAACGTGAAAGGGCGAAAGATGATGACGAAAACTTTTTGAATCCACTTCAGAAGATTCGTAAATGAGAGGTAGTTTGGGTAGCTGAGGAGATTTGTAGTAGCAATGCAGATATATGCCGATAAGCAGAAGCCGTTTAAGCAATGTGAGGCGTAGTTACTCACAGAATTAGTAAACGAAAATCTGGGAGGGAACTTATATATTTATAGGAAAACGTGTAGAAGGCAGTCACAAGATGGTATGCCTGGGTGAGCGGAAGGATGGATACTTATAAGTAGAAGAGCCAGACCTCTTGGACACATCCCCAAGGACCGGGTTAAGTTTATTCGCAGAAACATACCTAACCTTTTACAACGCCAGATGACTGAAAAATAAACCGAGAGCCCCTCTACGGAAGGGCTTGTAAGCTAATTATATTTGCCTCCTAGATTGGTGAATGGATGTGTAATCGTGTTGAGCTTCTGTAAGACCCCATACTATAGACGCAAGTGGCGGATCTGAGCGAGAGTGTAGCGCCAGTGCTCCATTCAACTCTATACCACGGGTCATTATTATTATCGGATAGACGCAAATAGGAGGGACCTAGCCCATTACCGTAAGTTGAATAGAGGGCACGAGCTAACGCAAGTACGTCGCCATTGATAAGTGAAGTATAGGAGGTACCAAGTCCTTATACTACCTTGTATCGCCAGTGTACCTGATATACGTATTGTCAAAGATAGCTGTTGTAAGGCATAGCTTTTAAAAAAAGAGCCCTGCATGCAGATGCCTACGCGTAACTCTGTTTAGGGTCTAATGGAAGTTAGGTTGCAGTCTGGTGAACTCTATAAATATGACAAGTGCGCGCCGGCCTACTATTCAAAGCGACGGGATGTAGGAGCTGGAGGTTTGAGAGGAAGCTAAAGCAAGGACATCCCCTCAAACTTCCAAGGCAGACGAGTTTATACCCGCCTCGTGGCTAGGATACCTACCGCTAGTGCGGGTATAGTCAAATGCGAAAAGCTAGACTGAACCGGAAGAGGATGCTCGAAGATAGCAATACTTCAAGTATGATAGCGTCAGTATTACCAAGAGATAAATAGCCAACGGATAAGGGTATAAGGCACACGGGGGAGCGAAGTAGGATGTTAATTCGTAAATGATGGAATGTGAGAACAAACTGGATAACCTCATCGTGTGACATCAACTCTCCCAAAGGCTCAAAAGCCCGTGCTGTACCTGTACACCTGCTTGATGAATCTTAATCCAGATATCGCTTAGGTGCTGTTCGAGCCATACTTACCTACCTAAGGTAGGTAAGTACCTAACCTTAGGTACCTAGCTGTAAGGTTCATGAGACCCCGGATTTCCCGTCATGGCTTACACGTCTTACGGTTTGATAAGTTTTAGCGTAGATCTAAGTTGATGAAGTTGCTCTGTCCGGTTTGTTTGAGAAATGTGCCGCCAATGCGCCGGATGATTGGTGCACCGACTCTTTGGCGTGTGCTTCCAATAGAGTTTGTTATTGGGCAAAGATGGTAAGGATAAAAACAAACGGGAAGATGAAAAAAGGAGGGAGGAGAGGGGAGGAAAAAAAAAAAGACAAAAAGTGTAACAAACAACCATTAGCCCAGAGTCACTCTGAATCTTCGAGTCAAGATTTACCGTACCAATTCCCAACCACACATACAACGTATATCATCCACCACGTGTATACACGAATATCTATCTATGTGTTTATTCGAGTATGACGGCGCTTCAAGGTAACTCATATTTCACATACCTTGCCTTCCTATGCCCACCAGACCAACCTGTGCCGAAACCATGGGATTCCTTCGAACCTCCTTGCTAACTGATGCGATTGAATGAACACCAACCTTCGTTGTTGATATCAACCGAGACATAACCCGCTGAGAGAGTATGTATCACTTACTCAAAGTTCAGCATCGTCTACCCCAGCTGGCCGGCATCTTTTAGCTGAAACTTCCAACGAAATTCCAGTTTTCTAGTCCTTCGCTTCTAAATATGACTTTTATTTCCGATTTTTAACATAGTATTCGTCATTCTATCCAGCAAGATCACTGGGATTCTTCGGGTTTTCGGAATTCAGTATCCTCACCTGCAGCATTACGTCGCGTGCGAGCCATATCCCGGCCACACCTTGATAAACACATAACAGGTACCTAATCTAACCTACATATGTTTAGGTGTAAATGCATCCCGACAACGGCTTATATGACAATGTACTAATTAACCCATCAGCTGAAACAGAAGCAGAGCTATCAACACAGCTCTAGCTCACTATTTAGACCTGATTTAGTGAGTTGAAGAAGGAAGAAGCGTTCCAGTTTTTTACCTTTACCCCTCAGGCGATAAACTCGTCCGAGAGGTTCGAGGCGACAGCTACTCGCTTTGTAACTCGCTTCTTGAAGCTTTCACCATGGAGGAGGGCCAGATACCTCATTATCTGGACAGATTCCCCTTAGGCTTGAGCGGGAAACGTATCCTTCTATGCACCGAGAGCCTCGGCCCGGTGAACGGCGTATCGCGCACCACCAAGATGCTGGTAGACCAGCTGCGATCTCACGGGACACTCGTCTCGGTAGTTGCGCCGTATAACCATACAGAAGTCAACACGTTCAACCCGATTGGCTTCTCTGGCGACACGAATGGGTTGTTCCGTGAAGAAGTACGGCTGAAAGGTTACCCTCTGCCTTTTAATCCCGAACTATCCGTGGCATATCCCGTACGACTTTCCGAGATATATAGGAGGACATTCGGAGGACCCCCGGACCTCATTTACCTAGCTAGCCCTGCGTCGTTGGGATTTCAGGTGATGTTTCAGGTGCGGCAGTATGCGAAGGAGCTGCAAATACCTGTGATATGCAATTTCCAGACCAACCTGGCAGGATACTGCACCGTTCTATTTCCCTGGCCGCTGGGAGAGATCGCGAGTCGAGTCTTCGGCTTCGCAGAGGGTAACCTTTTTCGGGACTCCTCCGTAAAGACCATCTTCTACCCCAGCACATCCGTTAGGACATACCTGGAAAAAGCCGCAAACGTGCCAACCGATAAACTGGAGGTATTGAGGAGAGGAGTCGACACCGAAGGGTTCAATCCTCGCAAGAAAAGCCAATCATTGAGGAACGAATGGGCGCCAAATGGAGAACTTATACTATTCACCTGTTCGCGAATAGCGGGCGAGAAGGGATTCGGGTTTCTCGCAAATGCCGCGGCGGAGCTGGACAAGAAGGGATTGGACTTTAAACTCGTCATCGTCGGCGGAAATCGTAACCCGGTGGTCTTTCACGAAGTTAAGGACATGTTTAAGCCACTCATCGAGAAGGGCAAGGTTATCTTCCTGGGGTTTAAAATAGGAGAAGACCTGATGACGCATTACGCCTCGGCCGATATTTTCCTCCACTGCTCCATCACAGAGACGTTTGGATTGGTAGTCCTGGAGGCGTTGGCGAGCGGCGTACCGGTGATCGCACGAGACGAAGGCGGGCCTAGCGACATCATCGAGCGCGGAAGGACCGGGTTTCTCACCGCGCCTGACGATGTGGGGAGCTTTGTGGAAAAGGTACTGCTGCTTGGGCGAGACTGGAAACTCCGCGAACAGTTTAGTCAAGCTGGCCGGGCGTTCGCGTGCGGTGCCACTTGGGAGCGAATCAGCAACAAGGTCGCTTGGCGGATGTCAGATACGATCGAGGAATTCGAACGGACCAGAGAATTAGACGCCTCGAAGGCGCGGTCGCCGATTAAGAACTGGCTACTCTCCAAGATCGTTCAGGTGAAGATAGCTTGTGCGCTTTTTGCCATTACCGGCATTTGGGCACCTGTTTCTGTCTACCTTTTCTTCGCAAAGATTGGACATCTGGTCAAGAAGTATGGGGCGCGGGCTTTTACACGCTGAGGAAGACTATTGATCGTTCGCAGGGGGCCGAAAATTACGATTCCGATATAAGCCTTTTTTTTTTTTTTTTTTTTTTTTTTTTTTTTTTTTTTTTTTTTTTTTTTTTTTAATTTTAGTGGGTGTGAGGGTGTTGACGGGGGGGGGGGTTTTATTGTAT